GGGTCACGAAGTCCTCAGCGCCTGTCACAGCGATAGCAGTGGGTTGGTCCCAAAACATAATTCAGGGTATGGGACAGTGGTGGGTGCTAGGCAGTGTTATAGCTGATAAATGATAATAGCACCGCACATCAACATATGCATTCGATTATTCGCCAACCTGAATCGACCGGTAAAATATCTGGACTTCTAACAAATGGTGCATAGTTTTATTACAAATGAGGGCTATTGGAGGATATATTCCCCCAGTACCGGCTTCAGAGCTCTCCACTAGAAGACACAGCTGCACAGCTAATACCGCACTGTCTGATACGGTCCACCTATCAAACTCTTATTAGAAAAATAGTGTGCCATCTATGTCGAAGTCTGACTGGCCGCCGAAAAGGCCAGATTACTAGCGAAAGTTTGAAGTGCGTGTCACTGTGTTTATTACTAAGCTCTGAGTTTTTTCCTCCTTCTACCATTCAAATCGCACTCAACGCAGCTCTTCTAAAGCAGTTGTGCTTCTCATTCACGGCCTATATGACGCATACATGAACTCTGAATTAAATCCTGTAGCTCGCTTCTTTTGCACTGTTATCGGTGTCAAACTTAACCAAGAAAGAAGCTCACAACCTTCTTAATTGTTCAACGTTTGCAGTGTCGTAGTAATCATGAGAGGACAACTGCATTTTGTTCCTTCAGTATACTTGCACTTGCGTAAAATCTTTTGAAGCAAATGGGCAACCGTCACTATGACGCATGTGTAATCTTAGAATAGTTCAATTTGCCGGTATCACTAACATCAAAGCCACTTCGAACGGTAAACGTTTATTCCAACCATTGTTAGCTTTCCAAACAAATCTGTTAAGCAATGTGAACTGGATACTCATCACCAATCAGTTGAATCACAGACGTCATGAAAATGGTTATGAGGTGTAATTGAGCGCACGGTATCATGTCAGAGTGTGAAGTAGTGATATCGTGTCACGCAATTTATCCCTTCGTAAAAGTGCGGTGGTTCTCATTTGTGAGAAGTCCGACCAAGAACTTCTCTACGACTCCAAATTGACTGAGTCAGATTCCTTTCCTAAGGGACTGGAGAACACCACAGCGAGGGTGTTTCATGAACCATTCTACTTTATATATCGGTAGTTCGTGTAGTGTGTATGTGTGTGTGTGCGTCTGTCTGTCTGTCTGTCACAATACATAGCGCCGGTCCCAGTAGCTATAGGGAGTTGATTCCAAGCAGTGATATGGAGGCTGTGACGGGAACATTATTGGTGGGTGACAGGGAGTGATATCAGCTGATAAGATCCGATAAGAGGCGTCTGAAGGGAAGGGTCACCGAGTCCATAGTGCGGGACACAGCAACAGTGGGAAGTTGATTCCAAGGTATGGTGTAGGGTGTGGGACAGGAACATTATTGATGGGTGACAGGGAGTGATATCAGCTGATAAGATTTGATAGGGGAGTTAGAACGGTAAGGTCACCATACTCATAACGCAGGACACAGCATCAGCTAGGCGTTGATTTCAGAAAATGATATAGAGTGGGAGATGGGGACACGGCAGGTGACAGGACGTGATAACAGCTGATAGGGGCTGATAAGGAACGTTGCCATGTTGTTCAGTCAAAGTGCTGGAGCCTTTACACTACCAAATTATAGAGTAGTAGTGATAGGGACATTGACGGGTGACAGGCAATCTTATCAATTGATAAGAAAGATAAGGGGCCGTTCTTATTACATCTCTTATCACTATACTGCCAAGTATTGAAGGCTCAGTGTGCAAAATTTTCCTTTAGCCATCACTTCTATGATAGCGCTAGAAAATGAACTCATGAATCCTACTATATATGCGGATGTCGACGAGCGGGGGGGGGTATGTACTTCGGAAACTTCGGAAACAGGAAACTCAGGAAAATTCGAGAAGGGACACTTCATGCTTTCAATTGCATCTTTTACTTCTATACTTTGAATTACTGATTAGAACGAATAACAAGGGCTCATAATACATTTTAATAGTTATACTTCAGCGAGCGGATTGCATGCTAATTGAAAAGGGAAACGTACATCGGTAGGCATTTCGGTGCAGGTAATGGAAACGAAATCTGCTCTTTTACTGAGCGATTCAAACTGCCCTGTATTGGCCGACTACACGTTGTATCTATATCTACAGATTTATGTATTGTATGGGCGTAATGGCGCGGACCACACCCCTGCTGCAAATAGAAGCCTGTGCTAAGTAGTGCACGATCCCAAGCCTTGCTCTATCTGCTACGATTCGATCACTACATCGCCGTATGAGCAGCCCACTATTGAAAACGCTCCGTTAAAATTATGGAGCGAGCCTGGCGAAGCCAGGCCAGCTCGGCGAAGCCGGGCTAAAGAGAAGGAGGAGAGCTCGGCGTTAGCCGGGATATCCGACTGGTTTTATATGAGCCATTTAGTATTTAATGGTAATTAACGGTAATTAATTGAGAACAAAGTGTCTTCTTAATTTGTCTCGCTGTTTACTATTGGGATTAACATACATTTACTTAGAATTTCACACGGCTTATTTCAATTTATTTTCACTGCCATTGCGTTGCGATGTGCTATACCATTCAACTTCGACACGGCCAGCGTTGTTGGTGACCAGTTCTAACGAACCTACCGCGAACATTTCTCCACAAAGGTTCTATTAACTGTAAAAGTACTGCGCTAAGCTATGTGTACTTCCCGACTAACACCTCTTTATCCTCGGCCCTTTAAAGAAACGAATGAATGACCGAGGAACTTCTTTCAAAGTTTTAGCAAATACATCAACTGCAAGCGTTCAATCTATCTTATGATAGTCGCGACTGTAATTGCAGATCAAACCGATCAATTTGACCGAAGCTGCAAACCCGTGAATACACTTTCCAAATGGAACAGGCAAGGCAAAGAGGGCGAGCGAGAATTCACGACGGTGACACTGCACGACAGCGCAACCGACGATTGCATGAAACTGATGAACAGAGATCCACCCGCTTGGAAGCAGAGTCCCTCCGTCAGCGGCGTAGACGTCTGACTGAGGATACTCAAGCAAGGAACGTTAGGCAACGTGCAGACGCTCAGCGACACCAGTCAGCGCGTCAAATTGAAAATGCGGAAGAACGAACTGCCCGATTAGTTGAAGATACGCAGCGCCACCGGGCGATACGTGCTACAAACTGATGACCAGCGGATCAGTAGTCGACTCGAAGACGCTCAGCGACATCAGCAGCGCCGTAGCTTAGAAAGTGCTGAAAAAAAGTTCAGCTTGACGTGAGAATGACGAGGAACGTCACCGTCGCAGGTGAGGTGTAGAGAGCTTCGAAGAGCGGGCCTTGCGTTAAAGGGAAAAGCTTCAACGTTAGCGTCGCAGACGTGATCAAGAGAGCATCGAAGAGTTTCCTGCTAGACGTGCAGAAAACGCTCAACGCCAGCGAAACAGACACGAGTTACAGAGCATTGAAGAACATTCCGCCCGACGTTCAGAAAACGCTCAACGTCAGCGAAACAGACGCGAGTTAGAGACTGTAGAAAAAAAGTCTGCGGGCGTGTTCGCTATTTTCTGTTTGTCGCCCGTGACGCTGAACGTCACGGGCGACAATCAGAAAATAGCGAACAGCGAACTACCCGTCGACTGCAACACTCTCAGCGACAGCAATGAGACGTAGCCTAGAAAGCTCCGAAGATAGGACTGCTACATTGCAAGCAGAAGCTGCACGTCGACGTCAGCGGCGCGTGAAATCAGGCGAGCACACTGGAATAGCGTTACGTTCACGAATGAGTGAGATTCACTACCTGGGAGAGCTGAATAGGGTGTGTGTGAATTGCGGACCCGGCACTTCCTTTGCGAAGTGAAGCCAAACTATCCAGGCATATTTTTAGAATGCTGCGATCTGGGTCGGATCAATTTGAATATGTTTGCCAGTTTTCCGGAAAGCCTCCGAGAACTTTTCATTCAAAGGCCGGAGTCGACTGCAGAACATCGCCGCAAGCAAAGGAACTTCCTGGAGAATATCAGAAACTTTAACTCAGCCTTAGCAATGGCTTCGATGGGAGCTCAGGTAGATATCCTTCGAGGGCGTGGTCCCTACTGCTACAGGATTCACGGACAAATCTATCATCGCATGGGCCCACTTCACCCAAATGTTGGCGAACGACGTCAGTATGGGCAGATCTATATTCTAGACGCGGCTCAGCGCCGTCTAGGAAACACGCGAAATGTTGACTGCGATCCACAACTAATGCATTTTCCTCAGCGAGTTGTTGTCGAACATCAACGTGTATGCTCAGTCTTTCAAAATGATGAGCGAGGTTGAGCAGGCAGAACTTGCAGCAGCAGCTCGCGAGAACCGTGCTCCTTTGAGGATACGCATGTATTCGAAGAAACCAATGAGAGAGGATTGAGACGTCGTCAATACGACCTGCCGACAGCAAATGAAGTCGCAGTTGTTTACGTTGGAGAAGACAACGATGTGCCTGCCACACGGAGCTTTGCTGTCCATCTACGGAGCGCTTCTGGAGAAGCAGCTTATGAATATTCGTGATATTGATAAAATATGTGACCCTCTAACATACCCTCTTCTGTTTCCAACAGAAGAAGGTGGGTGGGAACCAAGTATATCAACTGAGGTCGCATAACGCAAAAAGGATACTATTCATATATGTTTTCGATACGAGACACGTTTAACCATATTCTCTATGCTGGAAAGCTGTTCCAACAATTTCGCCGTCGATGCTTACGTTAAGATAGAGCAGAATCGCCTCAATTTCCAAAGAAGGAATCAACTTGCCTTGCGCGCCGACTCATACCGAGGTCTCCAAGACAATCTTGCCGGCGAGGACAATTCCGGCCCGCCAGGAAATCGAGTGATTTTGTCATCGTCTCATCTCGGCAGTCCGCGGTCCATGCAAGCAGTCATATCAGGACGCTATGGCTATAGTTGCACGTATGGAAGACCTACTTATTTCTTGACCATGGCATGCAACCCTCAGTGGAAAGAAATCCAGAAAAGTCTTTTAGTGGTCAGACAGCATCCGATCGCCCAGACTTGGTGGCGCGTGTTTTCAACGCCAAACTACAAGAGCTCTGTGATGATCTATTCAAAAGAAATGTTCTTGGAGAAGTACAAGCCTACGTGTACGTAGTCGAAGTTTCAAAAGCGAGGTCTCCCACACTGTCATATGCTGTTAATAATGAAGCAAGGGTGGAGAGTGAGAACAGCAGACGATGTAGATAGGTCTATTTGTGCGAAAATCCCGACCCATAGAAGAGCCAGATCTTCACGCCGCGGTCACCTCCTATATGATCCATAGACATTGCGGACGGATGGATTCTCCTTGCATGCGGAACGGCTCTCAAAACGATTTCCGAAGCAACTACGAGAGAGCACGTCAGTGGATGTCGATGGATACCCTAATTACAGGCGTCGGAACCGTTCCACCTGTCGAAATTAACGGTGTGATATCAACGGTGACGAATGGGTTGTTCCATACAACCCGTACCTCTTGATGAAGTTCGACTGTCACGTGAATCTGGAGATTTGTGGAATGATTTCGGCGGTGAAGTATCTCTACAAGTACATATATAAAGGACCAGACAGGGCTCGCATCAATATTGAAAGGTGATGGGAATGCAGATGAGAACGCGAACTTCGATGAAATCAAGCAGCATCTGAACACTCGCTACGTATGTGCGCCTCAAAGTATGTACAGAATCTTCGGCTTTACGATGCAAGAAAAGTCGCACACGGTTTATAGATTAGCTGTACACCTTCCTGACTTCCAACGGTCCATTTCGTGCAGGGACAAGAACAACGTTATCTAGACCGTGCTCATCAGACCTTACCACGCTCACGGCGTATTTCGAGCTCAACAGGCGATATGCCCAGGCTGAGGGAAGTGAACGCTCTGGATTGGCGATTGACGCTCGATAGCTTTACTATTATCAGCTGCCTGAGTATTTCACTTTTGAGCCACGCCGTGGTTGGTCCCCTAGAAAACGCTCCGGAAAACAGATCGGAAGGATGTTCACTGTTTCTCCTCGAGACAACGAACGATACTGCCTTAGAATACTCCTTCTAAACACAAAGGCAAGATGTCATTTGAGGATCTGCGGACAGTGGACGGCATCACGTACAACACTTTTGCAGAAGCAGCGAAAAATTGCAGGCTATTTGGACGATGACAGATATTTTCGTCAAAGTTTGCAAGAGGCTGCTCAGTACCAGTCCGCAGCATGTATCCGGAGTTTCTTTGCCTGCTTACTCTGCTTTTGTGAAGTTGTTCAAGCACAGGACTCATGAAATGAATTTGCCGAGCTATGTCAAATGACTACATGCACCAGACCGACCGCGAAGTTGCGAAAGGCATGGCTTACTACATCTTCGATCGTATGGTACTTTTAGGAAGAGATCTAAGAGAGTTAGTTCATGCTCCCGTGCTCCCGTTGAGGAACGTCCCGTGGCCAATACCTATCATAGTGGATCATGAAGAACACGAAAGAATCGGCCTTCTTCGGTATGAAACACTCAACGAAATGCAAAAAGCTGCCGCAGATGATATTATTGACGCTTTGGACAGACCCGAAATCGATGTATTTTTATAGACGGCCCCGGAGGAAGCGGGAAGACTTACCTATACAACACCGTGTACAACATTGCTATCGGAAGGAGGCGTCAAGTCGCGTGCGTCGCTTGGACAGGAATCGCCGCGAATCTCCTGCCAGGAGGACGAACCGTGAACTCCTACTTCAAGTTAAATATTGGGACGGAAACCGAAGCTCCTCCATGAAACGCCAACAAAAAGAGGCTAGAGAGCTGATGGCAACAGATATGATCATTTGGGACGAGATTTCCATGGCACCAAAAGCAGCCTTAGAAGCCGTTGACGCTCTCTTGAAAGACATTATGCAGAATGATGAGCCATTTGGTGGGAAGGTAATGATTATTGGCGGAGATTTTCGTCAAGTTCTGCCAGTCGTCGAGCATGGACAAAGGGAGGACTTCGTTGAGGCCTGCGTTCACCAATCTGTTCTTTGGTCGTTATTTTCTGTCCACCGTTTGGCCGTCAACATGAAAGCAAGCGAAGCTGGAAATGATTGGCATGAACGTCTCTTTGAGATAGGTAATGGCGACAGTAACTGCCAATGGATGCATTCAGGTGCCTGAAGAAATGATGTGCTATTCTGATATAGTTACGGAGATTTTTGGAGAGACTCTCAACCCTAACAGCACATCAGAACTCTGCGAGTCTGCCTATTTTAGCACCGAAAAATGCGCATGTTCAGCGTCTCAACGATGTTGCTCTCGAACGCCTTTCTGTGGAGCGACCACAAGACGAACGCACTTACAAGAGTGTCGATGAAGCCCTTTATTCTGAGGGACAGAGCGAGCAGCTTTTCCAGCAGGAATACCTGAACTCTCTCACTCCCTCAGGCATGCCACCACATGAACTGAAAAGAAAGGAACCATTGTCATGCTACTTAGAAACCTCGATGAGGTAAACGGACTTTGCAATGGAACACGAATGAAAGTGGAAAACACTGGAACGTTTTGCCATTGGCTGCAGATTCATTTGTGGTGAGAGAAGAGGACAGCTCGCGGTCATTCCATGAATCGACAACTATTGGGAACAAAAGAGCTCCTTTCCGACTGCGCCGAAGACAATTCCCGTGCGAGTGGCCTTTGCCATGACGATTAATAAAGCACAGGGACAATCCTTCAATAAAGTTGGCGTCTATCTCCCTGAGGACGTTTTCTCCCATGGTCAATTATACATAGCACTATCCCGTGCGAGAACTCCCAGCGGAATCAAAATCTCACCCAGTAACTTTGTAAAAAACATTGTCTTCAACGAAGTGTTGTTATAATGTACTCCATGCTCAAAAGAAAAAAACTTGCACGTGAATGAAGAAAAATGGTTATCAAGTTCCCTTTCCTCATCACAACACAAGCTTTCTATGCAAGTAGACGTTGCAATGCGTTGCAGACTATGAACATTTTCGAATACCACTAAATTCCATGAACAAGAAATCAAATAAATGGAGCTTGGGTGAACATGACAATTCGTCTCAACAGCGAAAGCGTACAGCATCCAAGGTTTCAGAAATGAAGCCTAACTGAGAAACTGAGAGAAAAGGATCCTACATACCAAGAAGGCCTCCATTTCTGAACATTTTCGAAAACTGAAATTGCAAATACGAAGGAAGAAGCATTAGTGTTCAAGGTGATACTTTCCGCAAGTATCCAATGTTGCAGACATCTCAGTTACAGTAGTGCTACGAAATTTTGCACTTTCAAGGATTCAAGCTTTCTCAGCCAGCTTTTCATACTTTACAAAAAGCGTTCCTCTAGAAGGCTGTTCGACCCGCACGGTCATCGGCAGAATGCCCACCAATTCTACAACTGGGCGATACGGTGTTGGTCAGTGCACTGCATCAGAAGCAGAAGTGGTACGAACTTTTTGCACATCCAACGATTCGATTTTAGCCACCTTTTCGTCCATTAGAAGAAAGCTTCCTTCCAGAAGGCAGTTCCTCGCGCACGCTGAGTAGTGAAGATAATCCTCCGCAGAATGCCCACCAATTCCACAACTGGGCGACACGGTGCTGGCCAATGCATTGCATCCACGAAAAAATCTTCATCGTGCTGATGCTTATCGACCTGACATTCCATATTATCCACCTGAAAAACAAGGTTCATCAAATTTTCAAAATAACTGCAACGCAGTGTTATAGAGCACGAAATTGGCTATCAGAACATATAGAACACATTAGCGAAACATTCAAATGTTAGCATAAAATTCGTGGAGAACGGGAACGCTAGTTCTCAACGACTTCGCGTTCCGTAATGATAACCTGAACTTAACAGAAAGCAAACACCTCTGGAGAACAGACAGTGTTATAGAGCACGAAATTTGCTATCAGAACATGCAAAACATATCAGCGAAACATTCAAATATTAGCATAAAATTTCAGGTGGAACAGACGTGAGCTGCCCAATATCGGCGAGGTGAAGGTTGGTAACTTCAAAATTCTTGAAATTCGTTCCAAAGCGTCCTAGTGAGATTCCCTTGCTGGAACTTCTAGCTCGACCTTTTCCAAATGTATGGAGCAGCTTAAGCGATTTTAGCACTTCGACTATACGTAAATAGAGGCAGTTGTCGAAGGTGCTAATTTTCGCCGACTTCGCTTTCAACTTCAACGACTAAAAAATCCACAAAAATTATTCCCTCAACCGAAGCCGTTTTGATATTCTAAAACTACGTGAAGTTTCCTATCAGATGATATCAAGCTTGCTAGCAAAACATTTCATCTTTGGAACGAAATTTCCGGTTGAAAAAAACGAAAGTACTTATGTGCCAACCCAATACTTCGGCTGCAGGCTTATCGGTTGCAGAAGTGGTACGAACTTTTTGCTCGCCTGTCGATTCGAATTTTCTGATAGATTCTCTTTTTCTAGAAAAAAATTTTGCAGATTTTCTGTTGTAAAAGTGTTGTAAACTTCCAATGATTCTGGGAAAATTGGTATTTGTACTCTTGCTCATGTGAGCTGCATCGGTCTTATGTTGGCAGATAATTTATTATTATAGCAAAGATCTTGAAGATTTTATAAATGAACAGATATCCTTCTGACTTCGAACGTCGCGGGTTGACCGCGAAGGACCGGTTTTCTTGCTCATGTGCAACCTTACTCCCAAAACTCGCCATCTAAGCACTGGTGTAAGGGTTTTCATAGATCAAGAATAGGTTTTTTCCTAAAACAAAGAATGTTCGTTGTAAATGAGCGGTTCGGCGAAATAATATCCAGTGAGTCCCTCTAATATCAACATTCTCCTTACTCACAGCATTTTTAAATCAGAAGGTTCTGTTTCAGTGAACATATGTCATTTCTTTCCGACGCGCTCGCCGATTTCTTGGCGAATAAGTCATTTTTTCCAGGAAGGGTGTGCTGCATTGAGAGTTGGCACAAAATAAAAGAAACGTGCTAAAATTTTTATTTCCTGAACGTGAATTTTTGATTATATGTCATTTATCAAAGCACTCCCTCTGATTCTGAGTATTTGGCGATTCTTCAAATAATCGCCGATTAGATAGTCATATGTCAAGCACTCCCTCTGAATTCTGAGTATTTGGCAGTTGCTTCAAGATAAGTTCACATAAGAGGTGAAAGCAGCATTACTCGGAGGGAATTTTTAAGCACCACATAGTACTCATAGACGAAATTTGATTTCTTTAGACTCAGGAAGGGTTCGCTCTTCTCTCTTATTTACAGGTTTGAAGTGCACTACTAGGCGCGCTTCGACAAGACCATATGAGAAAAAAGTTTCCTTCCTTACCTCCGCTAACAGCTCTTATGTTATGTCGGATATAGCTATAGGACACTGCGCAACAGTATACACTGATCATTAAGGAGCTAATGATTCCTCAAGTTCGACTTTTTCACATATAGACATATATATGTTCAATTAAGGGGTGCAGCATTCTCTAGAAGATCGCGGCTCATCATTGAAAGGCGAGTGCCAGTGAGATGGATTAGATGTGCTATAGAAAAGTGATACTCCGTTATAATCGAGTCATTTGTTTGCATTTCCGTTCGGAGTTTGATGAAAATATTCGTTACATTTTCGCACAGATACAATAAAATAAGGTAAACAGGTGCTCCTTACTGTAAGTGCGTAAGTTAGGTGAGAGAACTAACTGAGATCAGTTAGTTCTCTCAGCTAACGCTGATTTCACCAACATTCTGTTACGGAGCCCCGAATTAAGTGATGTTGGCCTGAGTAGGTTACCGCTCACGAGACCGGCGAAGCCGGGCCCTGTAAAAAGAAGTAGGAGAGCGCGGCGTCAGCTGGGCGATCCGACTGGCAAAGAAATAACTACTAAAGAAATAATGGTACGGCCCTAACCTACGAGCACGAACCCTGCCTCGATTCTATGGGCCACGAGGGTACAGCCCACTAGGGGCAGGTTACCTGGGATAGTCGGCGGCCTGTAGTGGTGCGGCTCCATTGCGTGGTACTGCTCGTTGATGTTAGACTGCGACCAGCGTAGATGGACGATGACGTTGACACTGGGAGTAGAGCGGAGCGGAGCGACCAGTCGAGACGGCTGCAGGACGTAGAAGTGACAGACAGGCCAGAGTCGACGCCGACTCTGCATCCCTAGCGGCTTCTAGAATGTTCGACCGTACCGCCAAGCGTGCCAGGACCACCGCGCCCACCATAAACGCGACCCTTCAGGAAGAGTCGTACGAAAGTCACGACACTCCCCAACTACCAAGGTCGACCCCCTTGATGGGATTCTCCCAGTGGTGCTGTACCCTGCACGGAAATCAGACGTGCATCTGAGATCTCCCTCCTCTTTCGGAGCTTGCTACTAGACGGTTCAGCACAAGCCATTTGCCAGACGGGCCTGGTAACGTACTGATCTTTTTGTCAGGTAAAGAAACCAACGCATATGTTACCTGATTGTTATTAATAACTCAGTATGTTCAGCACGCGACTTCTGCTATCGAATTAATACCCAAATTCACGAGAGGCTTTCTTCTGTACTGGGAAAACGAAGTAACGAAGTGTTTCCGTCAAATACGAGGTCCACCTTGTTTGGACTATTTTTTTTGCCATATCCTTATAGACATTCCGAATAGTAGCGGAGCAAGCGCTCGTCATTCTGGAAAAAAAAACCCAGCGATTAGGTGAGTCCCCCATCCACTTATAACGAAATTGCCAAGTCCAAATACAGTTGTGAGTTTCCTAGTTACCTTGAGTTCTACTTTTAGGGTCCCTACACTAACCCTGCGGCGCAGCTCGCACGCAACGAACAGAATACCGGATCCTTTTGCGCGTCTGTGCTTACTGATTTCTCAATAATGTTTTACCTCCGATAAACTACGGCAAAACCTAAGTTTTGAATTTCTACAGGACGGCGGACGACGGGACGAAGGACTTTATTTCGGCTTCAGTTATTACAAATTACATCAATAAGCCACTGGGCTCAACCATTTACATAAGAAAGCGTCCGAACCAATACAATTATGAATCACTTAAACTATGCACTTACAGCGAAAGTAATCGCAATATCACACTAAACGAACTTAGACTTAAATCTGGGTACAATGACAACCCTTAGTGTCTGTATTGAATAAATTACCAGTGAACAGTCACCGCAACTATAAATACAATTTGCACATGATCGATTAGGTTGATGCATATGTTTTCCGACTTTTTTGTAAATATCTCAATAGCGAACCAGCCTGAAGATTAGAGGTATGCACCATCACCATCCACTACTCGACGCCAACGCTCAGGCAGCTTGTCGATTCCATCTCCCAGAAGGACGGGGGCTGGGACCCGAAGAAGGCCACAATGCCGCACAATCACCACTGTGACATGGTTTCACAGTGGTAATTGTGCGGCATTGTGGCCTGCAAATGCAGGGTGGGTGAGTGATAGCTAGTGTGATGAAAGAGTATCATGTACACGTCACGCACACGTGATGACGAAATACCAACATCCATGCAAACGAAATACGGAAGGATCAAAACAGGAGGAAAACATATCTATCAACCTGATATATAAACATGCCCTCACGCAGGCTAGCCGAATAGGAATGAAATACGTACACAATGAGGACAAGTGAATCATCATAAAAGCAGAATGTTGACCACTCAGACGGCCGACGGAATGTATCGATCTAAAACCACTAAAAATAGGTGGAAAAATTCTGATGAAAAAGGAACGGAATTGATGTAAATCGGGATAGACTGAGGAGCCAATAGGGGTGGGTTCTTCATAACAAAAGAACGCCTTATGGGTCTTCCACCTACCCACCTCATGACGTTATCTGGCGCGACCCCCGCTCTGATGGCTGCAGTTGCCGCTCCACCTCTAAAGGAATGTGAGGTCAGATGCCGCTGCGCCAAACCTGCGTCTGAAATAAGTCTGTTTAACTTTTCTGGCGATGAGGTCTCTAGAGGGGGGCAACCCCTTTGGAGCTGAAAAGGAATTCTCCTGCCCTGCGCATGAGGTTGAGCTTCTGGAAGCGATCCCAAAGTGCTATCTGGCTTCCGCTCGCAACCGAAGTGCAATCTGTGTTCCGGCTTGGTTGACCTCAGATCTTCTCAAAAACAGCCACCACACGTTATCGCCCTTATCGATGATATCTCCGCACGTATACTGCAGACTTCGCTGGCTCTCAAAAAAGCGACATACATGAGGAGAATCATTGACGCGGATTTAATAGCCGTCTCGGACCCTACCTCAAAGCCCAATCAATTATTAAACTTCCGTCCTCGGCTAAGCCTTAGATATGTGCACCATCGAGGAACGAACCCTTGCAGCCGATCTTAAAAGAGCCCCCTGAACATCCGGTTGAGGACGGAAGAAGTGCCCTAATGCTGCTGCATATACTTAGAGAGACTTCAATTTCGCCTCATCGATGAGAACGCTAAATACATATTCCTAAGCTTATAGATCGTAAATGCCGGAACGTTAGAGACTTCTGAACGACTTCCATGAAGTCTTCTTCCTAACTTTCTTATATGCTGCCAAGGTTCCTCTCGAAACTGACGAGTCGAAACAGCTGTGGACGATATTTGCGATCGACGGGAAACCCATATTGGATGCTAATGCAGCTACCTCTGCAGCTCTTCGCCCTCTCGGGCTGGACAAAACACCTAAAAAAACCTCGCAATCGTCTGGCGACGAACCCTAACTCTGAAACAAGAACAAGACAGGACAGAAAATGAACAAGGAGATATAGTCTACTACTGATCCTTACTCTAACCTTAAGTATCTGAGGTAATGTACTCGTGAGGCATAATCAACAGCCTCACTGCGAGCATCTAAGCGATAGCACCTGAGATGTGACTCGTTCCCCCAATGGGGCGACTATGGCATAACTTGAGGCTACCATTAACGTAACCAGGATCTATGCTGCATAGATACCCCTCGGACATTACATGGCCCACAAAGGCTGACTGGAAATCTGTCCTAGAGGGACCACCGGTTGACCCATCCAGCCTAGAAGACTAGATGCTATTTTATCAATGCAAAAATGGGCGGGGGAGGGCACTGAAGCCGAAAAAGCCGGAATGGGCAAGAAATTCACATGAGGCCCTGCCCCCATGTGAGTTCGCGCCGAAGCGGCGCGGTTCCCGCCCACGCGCCGCGTCCTTAGGAAATTCAAAACAACACTTTTACCTCCGATAAACTACGGCAAAACCTAAGTTTTGAATTTCTACAGGACGGCGGAAAGTTAAAGCCCGAGGGTCAGCAGATGAACTTGCAGAACACGAAATCAAAATTCACTTGCTCTTCTCCAAAGGTGAACGAGGGTAAATTGCCCTTGAGAACTGCTGGGTAAATTTTGATAGCCTTTATGGAATCCATTCGCTCCTTTGACGAAGAGCCGCAAAGAACAAATGAGAAGGCCAAAAAGGAAAAGCTAAGATGCCTGCACTACCACTATCCAGTGCAGTTTAATAGTTCTCAAGATGAGATTAGGAGGAGGAACCTCACCTATATAACTCTGAACTCCACCACTGGCGAGCTTCCGTAATGCGTCCTTAACCAACGCGTCAGGAGAGAACCATCTGGAAATGAATTTCTTACACTTAGCACTCTGATCACTGGCAAACATGTCAATGTGCATATCCCCAGCTTGCTGTAATTCCTCAAAAATTTCGTCTCTTACGCACCAGTCATCTAAATCTAATACACCGGGATGCCTCGTCCGCTGCCATATTAAAGGTTCTGGCCACCCAGAAACCCCGGTTTCAGGCCAAATCTGCTGCGCTAATTTTTGAAGTTTGGTTTTGTACTTCTTTTTTTCTAATACGGCTATTGCCGCTTGGTTATCGCAATGCCAGGCGACTTCCTCCCCTTCCAAATGCAGTCTAAAAGCCTTTAACCCTTGAAGCACCGCGAAGAGTTCTCTGGCTGTGCTCGACTCCCCACTAGTATCCGGGCAAATTGGACGAACTAACGATTTTGGCATTGTAATCCGAGACATAAAACAGAAGCTCTCCCGAACTCAGAGGCATCCGAAGAAATCTAAAAACGCGCTTCGTGACTGCATCGTATTATCAATAGAAACTCCTCTGAAACTCCCGATCCAAGCCAACCAATCCCTCAACTCGCCTTTCTCTTCCTGAGAGAGGGGCCACCTGAACGATAACGCGCTACTGCCCTTTATTCTCGCGATGGCCGACGCGTTCGCTCTCCACTGACGCCTCTTATCTGGAGGGATAACGAGGAACATCGAAACAACCGTACCTTGCCATCTCAATCTATCTAGCAAGGAGGGACCCCTCTTAAGAAGCAAACTATGAGCTATATTGCGCGCTTTTACTTCCCTACTCTTGGTCACGTTCAGTGTGAACTCTTTCAAATCGATCTCATGGCCTAACCATATGAGCTTCTGGAGAGGGCTCCAGGAACACTTCTCTTCGGCCAAAAGAAAGCCGGCATCTCTCAAATCTGCCCTAACCGACTCAATCGATTCTTTGCAACCACGTGCGGAATCGCCCATATCAAACCTTCAGCCAATGTATGCAATAAGGTTGAGAATATGCTCGATGTTGTGGAGCTTTAGCTTCAGAACAATGAGCCTGTCTTGGCACCGGAGAATGTGGATATGGACGCAAATAGGACTCAGATTGCTTGTGATGCTGAAAACTTGGTACTCTTCAGCAGTTCGTACAACCATCTGTGCCGTATTCTGATGGCAGCGCTGGTGAATAGTCCCACTCGATCGACCGCTTAGCGTTGACGACTGATGCAAAAAATTGAAGCTGAGTTTTGTGATCTCACGGAAGGAGGTCCAGGTCCACATGGATACGATTTGCCGTCCACGAGCACAGCCCAACATCTTGAACCTGCATTTACGGGCCAACTGAAAATGCTGGACGGTTTCCTCGAAGCAAGCCGAAAAGAACAGAATTTTCGCCATTCGGTGACAATTGCAATTCCTAGTTCAGAAGCAATTAACCTGTGTACTACAGCGGATGAATCTGTTGATTTGGTAGCACCAGAACAGAGTGCTAGCGCAAGTATTGTTTGGCCTGAATACGGTTGTGTTACTGAGAAGTATAAGTGTACGATTTGTACGACAAGGAAAGGTTTCACCAAAGAATTTGAACATGCCGAGGCGACTTTACTGTGCCGGTGGTCACTCGGGAAAAGGCTACGCTGAGCGTTGTCGATTCAACGTCGCAGTTCTCCCCGCAAGTATCAGATGGTGCAAAAGGGCTATCAACTAAAGATGGGTTCGAAAGGGAGTGCCTTTCTGTGACGAAGACAATTCCGCCTTCCAGTAAGTGCACCCTGCTCATTCAAATGTGTCACAAAGTCTTTGTCTGCTAAAAGAGTGGAAAGTAAAGGTGAGGCGTCACATTCAGTACGGTGCGCAGATGCAGATTCTACTACTCTGTCTGCCATCGCAGTAAATGCCGATTTCGTCGTAGGACCCAATGACGTCGCGGGAGGTCCGATTTCAATGGCAGATTCCGACATTGCGAGACTTCGTACAACTTTGCAATCCCTTGGAGAGCCATCAACTTCAATGGAACGAGTGTTTTCACCAACAGCGGACGATACCTCTGATGGGCTGAGTGCTGAAAAAGACGTGGAGTGAAAGAAGGCCTCTCGATTAAAGCGAATGATTTTACTCCGGTCCAGCTGGTCTATTTCTTCGATGGCCGTGCTAGCTAGCAGCTGCGAGATTTCGCCTGTCAACAAAATCGCTGAACTCGAGCAGAACTGGAGTTTGACCTTACAAAATCTGTATACTGTCCCTCCTTCATATCAAGAGAATTCCCGTGCCATAATACATTCCTAACGAACGATGACAGTTTCAACGAAGGCCAAAAGATCCGATAATGATGGATATTCCTGCTTGAAACTGACCTTCAGGGTTTTTGGGGCGCTCGACAATCCTGAGCGAAGTGACCAAAGCGAACACAGTTGTAGCACGTATCTGGCCTACCTTGACCGAAGTCTTCCTGCATTTCGCTCCTGGCGATCTTGGTAGGAGGGCTGTGCGGCCGGAGAGGCGCGGGCCCACGACGCCCCTCCGAACCGAAAGGGCTGTCGGCCCTGTGACGGCGGCGTGAACCGTGATTCTGAACAAATACATCAAAACATATATTGTTATGAGGATAGGTACTCACAGAAAACAATACAGAACTTCTCTGAGATAACTTACTCCACATTGTTGAGCGAGGAGCTGGCTTCTTGCTTTCTTTCTTCTTCCTTTCTCGAAGGAACGCCGCTAAAATGGGGTTTGAGGACTGTAGGGTCTCTGCCCTACTATGCTGATCATAGAACTCGAACATTTCCGGATCCATGTCGGCGATGACCAATAACTCATTCCGCTGATTGAGCTGCCCAAACATCTGGCCGAGGTTAACCCTAAGTGATTTGGGCGCTAGTTCCGCCAGCGGTGCTAAGAAGGCAACTAATCCCGCGCTGAACTCGTACTGCCTAAGCCCGGCCTTCTTGAATGCGGGCCTCCGAACCGGACGGGACTGCTTGTCCAGGATTCAAAGCCATAATGCCTAGACCGGGAGAAACCTGTGGCGTGCAAATAACGACACGGACGACATTTCCAAACGTTTCCAAACAACGAACCGGGCTGCACAAAATTCATTAAAGAGCTGCCTAGACCGAAAGGAACGGCGCGTACTAATAACAGCTGACGTGCCTAGGCCGGACGAGAGCAGTGGCGAAATTCTTGGCTGAGACAATGCGTTGATCGCAAGCACTGCTTCCTCTCTGGCCTGATCCAGTAAGTCGTCCAAATCTTCTCTAGTCATCTGGTAGATTTCCACTGCCGCGTCGGGAACTTGACCATCGTTCGATTTTCTCCATGTCGACCACGATCCAAACACCGAGACCAACCGCACACTGAAGCCGAAAAAGCCGGAATGGCAAGAACTCACATGAGGCCCCGCCCCCATGTGAGTTCGCGCCGAAGCGGCGCGGCTCCCGCTTACGCGCCGCGTCCTTAGGAAATTCAAAACAACACTTTTGACTCCGAAACTTCGTCAAAAACTACATTTTGCTTCTGCTACTCGACGGTTTGAGGCTTTATTTCTGCTGTACGATACAACTATCTCGAAAAACCTTTTCGCGACACAATAATCTGTTTCGCCAAGAATCGTTCAATTAACACACCTTCCTATATGATCAATGAGTGACAATGGAATAGCTATATGTAATCCCTAAGTTGAATAGAATCACAACATTTCATAGGACAAAGTAACTGTACAAATTGTGAAGTTGACCCAAGTCCTGCATCTATGTACATGGTAAAACGTAAACTAATAATAACATCTAGTGGAAGCAAATAATAAGTAGATAAGTTGGTTGCTCCTGTGGCACCAGCCTTGTCGACCGATAGAAATACGTCGAAGCGACCTCGTGTAACGTGGAGGGTTGATGTGGTAGTCCCTCTGTTGCAAACTTCCAGTGTCCATATCTGAATGATAGAAGTTCTACGCCTGAAAAATAAAGTATAGTGATGATTACCCTAGATCGGTGTCGGCTCTATGTAATGGAGCATCGAGGAAGTAGACTTCCAACGGCCCACTCTTCTTGATATCGTCTTGGCTAACGCCTCTCCTCAATGCCGCAGTCGCTGCCCCTCCCCGTAGGGAATGCGGGGTTAAACCCTTGTGATGCAGTCCTGCAGAACGAAAAATTTCGTTCATGTGCTTTCTTAACGCATCTGTGGTGAGACACAAGTCCCGGGCAGGACGAGAAAAGGAATTCTTCTCCTGATCCCTGAATGAACTGTTCGAAGAATTTATCCCAGAGAATTTTATGTGTATCCACCACTTTGAAGGCCACTGTTTCCCCTTTCTTAAACTGGTCTGTCTTGGATCTGGGTATATATAGCCACCAAATCCCTGCGCCTTTGTATTGAAGGTGATTCTTTTGGACATTAACTGTCTCGCTTATCCTTCAAAAAGGCCAGGAATGAAATAAGGATGGCACAGGCGCCTCGAATATTCTCCTGCGAATCGTTTTGTAACGCCCAATTAATTATGACGCCTATGTCCTCCTCAGAGGCTTTCTTTCTATGCCTCACTGAGGGTGTTTCTCTTTTTGCTGAATCTATTAGCAGCTTTTGGAGCTCTGCTTCCCCGCCTTTCAACCCACCGTAGAAGAAATTCAAGGAGGCTACGGCCATAGGGATGCATTTAAGCTGTTGTTTATGAATTAAATGTGCTATGAACAGGTTTCTAAGCTTCCCCAATTGTAGGCGCGCACTGGGGAGAGAAGAAGCGAAAGCCTCGAAGCGATATCTCATGGAGGAATAAGCGGACATCGTGCTTGGTGCCAGAGAGCAGTTGGCGGATTTGCCCACGATCTGAGCCAGTTCTTCCTGTCCCTGGTTGCGAGCAATAGCGATCGTATCACACCATGCCATCCACTTCTCGCCTGAACGAGACACCATGAGTTAAAGAGGGGAGGGTGGGTGGGAGCTCAGTAAGCAGAAAATAGCCGGAATGGCCTAACTTGTCCCGCCATCCAGGGGATGCGTGACCCGGCACGCCCATCGATGACCCGAGGTCTTCGCGCCTCGCTGAGGCGCTTGCCCTTGCGAAATACCCTACTAACCGTCTCGTAGCCTACGCAAAACAACGATTTTGAGCTTCAGTATCATGGCAATCACGGTGTCACCTAAAAATACTACGGGTAGCTGGGTGTGAATACGTACTACGGTCAGCTATCGTAGCTTACGTGTAACTTTTATTTTATGGCCATCTTTACAGGCAAACGTTGAAAGCTCAACACCAGGACTTTGGTTGTTAGGCATTCCCGCGCAGACTATATCACTACAAAACCCATGGTTTCAGTTCATCTTGCAGCTCATATGTTACACGCTGTTCGTCGACACTATATTGTTTCGATCTACTGAAAGCGTCTACCTAGTAGACAGCTGTTAGTTGTCACAGAACCTAGACTGTATGATTACCTACCAAGCGCTACTTCCTGAAATGACAAATGATCACAAAAATTATTATACTTCGCATAAAGAGAGCTGAGCGGTCCAATCGCGAAGATCATGCTATTCGGTTGGCTCGGAACGTCTCTAAGCAGGGATAAGAACGTCTCTAAGCAGGGATAAGAACGTAAATTTGTACAACTTACCATGAAGGGTTGCTACTTCGTCCAGCTGCAGATCTGATAGCGATGCTGAATTTTGATGTTATATATAAATACCACCAATCACGCCGTGCAATTGCGTACTCGCTGCTGCTACCGTAATCCACGTCTATGTGTATTCACAGCTGCGGCTGCTGCAGCAACTGTAACTTGCTCTTCTCTGGCATAGATGAGCTCAGACGACAAGTATCACCGCGGCCGTGGCTCATGTCTCTTTCAGGGGGAGGAAGTAGCATTGCAAGCTCCAGGATCAGGCACCACTGCGCCCTCTAAAGTGAAAAATCACCCGTTCGGTATGACCCGCTACAGAAAGAAGTGTTTATACGGTCTCGGTCCTGAGGTAACGCGAGGAATTTTCGCTAGGAGCGAATTTTTGATTCTTCATGGACATGGTTTTATAGGCCACCTTCCATCCAGACACCCCTAGAGGGCTCTCAGTGCATCTCTTCTGCTTGATATGAATGAAACTTGAAGCACAGGAACGCTGGATCAACCTTTCGATGTAACGCCACTTGTATTCGTCTTCCATTCCGATCGCAGTGACATAGAAATATGGTGGAATACGAGTATTAGAAAGAACAACCCTATCATACAGCTAATGGTTCCCTTGTCATACTCAGACAAACTTCACTTTCTAGCTATGTTGTAGTTTCATTTACACTACATCAATTTATCATGAATTTACATCCTGACGGAGTTACGTCACTCCACGGCGAGACACAAACGAGTGCTTCATTAGTTTTCCCGGCTTTGCTCAGTAGCGACATCTGCTCCTACGACCCCATCACCTCTACCTGCATGCAACATACGACCCCTTCGTCGCGAGTTCCGCAAAGCAGCGCCCAGGATAGGCATTTTGACCAGGAAACAACCACCTTCAAGCACGTTATAACAACCATGAGTCTCGGTTTGACTTGAGGAGTGCATCCTCTACTAGCAAAGGGTCTGGAGTAAAAGCGCCAGTGATTAAGCCAATTAAAAACAAAGTTATGATACAAAACGAGTCTTTTGCAGTCGCTCTTCGGCACAGTCGCAGGCATCTTCTCGCTTAATTACAGTTGGCGCAGTAGTCAATATGCATTAAACGTGGATTACGGTAGCGGCGGCGAGTACGCAATTGCACGGCGTGAGCTCTACCAGCAAAAACTCTTCGGACGCAGGATGCTAGATAAGTTGTTTGTTCTGTGCTCATATGCCATTATTTGCAACAGGGATGAAGCGAGCAACGTGGGCATACTGAATTCATTACCATAAATAACGCATCTACACACTGATTTCTAACCAGGAAAGGTCAACAGGTCAGCCTGGCCATTTCCAATGAACTGCACACCGTTGTACGCGTCTTGGGACAGTGAACTCAAATCTACTTTAGAATTTGCGGAACGATTTTCTGAGCGGAGTTATGGAGGGTCTTATCCCCGCGTGGTCGTTTCACATGCTATCGCGAGGAAACGTGGAAGCGTCTTACATTTATGTATGGAGTCATGCTGAAACGTGGTAGTAGAGCGCAACGGGTAGGGAGCGGGTTTCTTAGGCGAGACGTCGTAGGATCGGTTCCGGGGCAGGTTTTTTTGCATTTGTCCAAGAACATAGCCGACAAAGCTTCTAACATCTCTGCTCGCCTGCACTACCCTATAAGGGAACCTGCGATCAGTTTTTTTTGAAAGTGTAGACCCATTGTGGCCTGAAAGAGTGCTTCTGCTTGTACCCCTCGTAACACGTGTCACAAGGGTTTTTGCAATGAAATACCATCATATTCATGTTCAGCGGGTTAAATTACCCCTGGGGACAAGTTTCTAGCCGAATCTGATATTTCGACCTCACTTGGAAAATGTGGGCTATTCCATGGGTAATTAGCAGCAGATTGGAGCTCACCTACCATCGATGACTGGTCTCGGAATGGGATTTCCTCCCGATAGTCAAGAAAATGATGCAGACGGCACAAATAAGTAAGCCAGGTACTGTTGTTTGCGAAAAGACATGACTGAAGAGTTATTTCAGTTCGAAGACCAGTCATCACCAGTATGCTAGTCATAGTATCGCTGTTGGCTATCAGTCAGCCATGACTATCCATACCCCATTTTTTTCGAAGTTGAGTCAGAACCTCAGATTTCGCTAAGGTGACGTCTCTAGGGGTTATTTGACCCCCTGAACACGAATATGATACCTGTTTTGCGCGAAGAGCGCTGTGAGTCGCGCTACATGTGCCAACGCTTCGGCGCCAGCGCGCCCGTAAGAAGAAAAACAGTAAAGAAAAACCTCTCTAACTCCGCTCAGAGAATCGTTCCGCAAATTTTGAAGATAGTTTTGAGTTCACCGTCTCAAGACGGGTACAACGATGTGCATCTCATTGCAAATGGCCAGGCTGACCTGTTGACTTTCCTGGTGAGCGCACGCAGGAAAATTAGGCGTGAGCTACTGTAGCCAGCCGCAGTACGTAATGACACATGTTATCACGGATATTTTTATCTAGTAACACCTGGAATTTCACATTGCACTTATGCGCTGTTAGCTGTGACACAAGCCAGGCACCTTTTGATTTTTCGATCACTCCACTTTCCTGTCCCTCTTTTTACATAGATCTTTCTTCGATGCTGTTTGCAAGACTGGCAAAGTGCCAGTTTTCAATCGTCACTTAAAGCAGGCATATTTAGAGGATATCTTTTGCAGTGCTCATTATTTGGATGTTTGTTAACATTTGGTAGTGTCTTGGGCTCTCTAAAGATTAGTCTGCACGTTACCATGATTTTAAAATGGGCTATTTTTTTACACTAACACGTTCATAACATATTTTTACAAATTCGTTTTCGTATTCAATATATTCATTTATTATTCATATTTATACCCTCATAATAAACTTCCTTGAATTTAGTTATGTATTCAACAGTTCTCAATGCTCTTGTCTTCTGAACTTTTGCAACACATAGTTTGAGTAAAATAATCACCATGAAGAAAGCGACGTCAAGCATCATGACTACAAGTTTGCTTGACTTTTTTTGTGAAATTCGCAAGGATTGCTCCTCTTCGTTTGCTACAGTGATTTACCAGTTCATTTATTGTTGTTATTCTGTCTCTGTTTGAAGACACAGATATCCTAACCGGTTAGAACTGCAACAGTGATATGATGTTTCTGTGGTGTTTTACTTTCTGGTTTTGAATTTTGCACAGCAGTTTTTTGATCTTTCGAAGAGCGACGTACTTGTGGTTAATCGGGATAAGGTGCAGTGAGAAGAGGTGAGCAAGAAGGACTGTATGGAACAATTGCTCGACTCTAGTTACCTAGCCCGAGTTCAAGACCAGCGCCGAGCTGACCAGGAGATTTGGAGAATCCGCAAAAAGGACTAATTGCGAAGGGGTTTCGCATGCTTTCCTATCCACGGGATCTGATGCATCGATTCGCATGGTTGGCTGCCTTTATTCGATGCCCACTGGAGAATCTGAAAATACTCGGGAAAGGAAGTGCGCAGTCTTGTTCGTTGCGAAACAAGTGCAAGGCGACATAGAATCGACAACGGTTCTTGAAAATTGACTGATAACTGATACTAACGATATGGTAGTCTCTTCGCTTGCTCGCATCAACAACTGGTGAAAAAAAAACGATTTTGGCGCTGGTTTGACGCCGCACCAAATCAACTCCGCCTGATACGCCCCTCATCCGTAGCGAACAAGAGTGTACATATCGATCCGGAAATCAGCAGAATAGGAGGTCCAGCTATTACAGAAACGCTCAAAACGGATATGGGATCCCAGAAAAGAAGGAAAGAATACGGGA